CCTTTCCTTTCTACCCTTCCTCCCTTCCACCTCTTTTTCCACCTTTCTCCATTCTCTTCCTCCTTCTCTCTACCTTCCTTCCATATTCCCCTTTCCTTCCTCTTTTCCTTCCTTCCTTTTTCCCACCTTCCCTCCCCTCCTTCCTAGTTTCCTTCCTTTCTTTCATTGTTCCTTTCTTTACTTCTTCTTTTCTCCCTCCCTCTCCATTTGGCCTTAGGTCCTTTTCAGGATCTAAGCTCTTAGCACAGAAAGACAAACAAGGCCCAGCCTTTAAATCAGCTGCTGTTTCAGAACTGACACGGACGCCCTGAGGCTATGAAAAAGTTGACTGTTATTAGAGTTGTGAAAGAGACTTGCTCTCTTTTTACTTTTTTCCTTTTTTAGAGAAATTTTTGCTATAGAGCGTGTGCACTTGCCAGTGAGACCAAGAGACAGAAAGTGAAAAATCGCCCCCCAGGGGAGATGGCAATCCCCATAATACCTTCTCCTCCATTCTCCTCTGGGGATCTTGGGCACACATGCACATGACTAGTGTGAATTTAAACCGCCAGGTCTGGGACTCAAACTGTGGTCAACTATGTGGGAGTCTGGCAATGTAACCATTATGCCATTTGCTTGTCCCAAGACATGCTTTTTTAAACCATGCTTTGGTGAAGAGGAAGACGGTAAGATTAGGTCTGTCTTTGGAGACAGGAGAGGTGACTGACTTCAAGGCAAAGTCGAATCCTGCCTGGAACCCACTGCTCCGCCCTTGTTCAGGCTGCCAGGAGGCTGGCCAGGAGGCCAAGCATGCACTCTCATTCTGGCTACTGAGTGCCAGTGCACTTGCGGCCGACGGACTCTGCTCCCACACACAGAAAGCAAAATGTGAATCACCAGCTGGGTTAAAATAGGCCATGGTGACAGAAAAAAGCCATATCCCAGAGTACCCAGAGCTCCTAGCCATTTAGCGTTTCTCTCTCTCTCTCTCTCTCTCTCTCTCGTTAAAGAGATTTTTGCTATAGAGTGCATGCACTCACTGGAGAGATGGAAAGACAAAGTGAGAAATCACCCCCCAGGAGGGATGGCCACACCACAATAACTTCTCTTCCATGGTCCTCTCAGGATTTGGAGCACACGTGCACATATGCCCGATGTGTTTCAAGTGGCCAGGTCCAGGACTCAAACTTCAGTTGGCCAAGTGGGAGTCCAGTGATGTAACCATTATGCCATCCACTGGTCCCTCTCTCTCTCTTAGGATGACAAAGCAAAGATCCTGTAATACTGAGATGTGTCCAATATCACAAGGGGGGCCCCTGTCGATCCTGAATGTGACCCAGGTCACCTCTTTCCTTGAACAGAGCTTTTTCTGCTTCTACCTTTCACTCAAGCCTGGTAAAGCATTGGAAAAAGTCAAAAGAAAAAGGAAAAGAAAGAAAAGAGAAGAAGGAAGGAAGAAAAGGGTTGGAAAGGAAAGGGCAAAGAAGGATAGAGGAGAGAAGGGAGGAAGAGGGAAAGGAAGGGAGGAGGGGAAGGGAGGGAGGGAAGAATGAAGGATTATAATATGGAGCACTGGCAATAAGTAAACTGCCAAGTTCTCCAATGCTTGTAAAGTCCCCTTTACTTTCTGGAGTCACTTAGCTAACCAAGTTGCAGGGTTATTGTTCTTCCTCATGAAGGACAGAAACTTTTCTTGAATTGCTTTCTCCTCCGTCTCATCAGCCCCATCACTTCAGTTCAGAGCATCTGGCAGAAGAAAGCAGTTTGGACACTTGGTCACATAACTACGCCTCAGTGTTGCCAGGCATCCTCTGAAAATCAGACTCTCTCATGATTCGTGGATCTCCACTGTCACTAGGACTTGGAGGCAAAAGCATTTCTGGTTTCTCAGGAACCTGTGCTTGAAGTGGAGTCAACAGAGACATGGCCATTCCTTCAGCAGGCTCCCAACCAGCTCCTCATTTAAACCGGGTTTTACTAAAGTAAAAACATGGGGGAGGAGAATTTGTTCTGCCAATATGGCCTCTCCCCCCCCAAGAAAGCCAGCCACATAGAAAAATGTTGTGTGTTCCCACGTGTCGACACTGTCAGGGATTCTCAAATGACACGAGTGGAACCCGCTGGCTGGGAATGGATATTTGTTTAAAAATCCCATGTCAGGGGTTAATGTGAACAGGTGCTGTTGCCCTTCTCTCCTTTATCCAAGAAGAGCAGTAAATCCCTTGATGGAGATCAAAGGATAAAAACAAGTGTAAGCCACAGGAGACTCTGCTAACAGCTCAGCATCCTAGCAAAGTTAACCAGAAACGTTTCTATCCGAGGTACAACGGAGAGCAAGCAGGAACAGGGAGAGAGACTGAAGGAGGGTGAGCGATTCGCAGACTTGCGAAGGGCGCTGTCTGGCTGTTGTCAAGTTCCTACTTTTACACCTCTATCCCTCTAGGTTTCTGAACAGAAAGACCAAGAAAACTCCCAACAGTCTGCCAAGCTAGGGCGGCCTTGGAATTCCAAATTGAACAGAGTTTGGTTTAGGATTTCCAACAACGACAAAACCAAGCTGTCCACAGAGAGGAAAGCCAGAGGGGGCCAATTAGGGAGGAAGAAATTAAAGAATAAAGGAAAGAATCAAGCCAAGATGAAAGGTCCAGCGGAGGGTGAGTGACAAGCGAGGAGTATGGCAGCGTTGGCAGGGCTGGCGGCCAGCGGAGGAGCAGGGGAGGCCGCGGCGCTGGCGACTGACAGGTGGGTTGAGGAGCCGCGAAGAGGAGAGGAT